TGGATAAAATATTAATGTTATTATTATGTACTCTTTTCCTGGTGGCTTGTTTATGAAGCTTTATGTGTTGCTCCAAGTGGGGTGATGTGGTCATGTTTCTCTTTACTGTGTTTGCTGAGCTTGGAATGTATTATCCTTTTTTCTCTAAACATTTACCAAAAAAGGAAATTTTTAGAAAAATAGTGGATCAGCGGAAAGAGTTTTTTTTTATATGGATTAATATTATTGTTATGTAGTTATATTATATTATAAATATATATACATATCAATTCTTGTTTTTAATACTATTTTAAAACTATTATTAAGCTATTAGTTCTATTTTGATATGGATATGACTTGTGTTATTGTTTATTATTTAATACAAGTATTGTTTACTTGGTTTGATTAATTTACTATCTATATGAGAGATGTTTTGATAGCTTGTTAATATTAATCACTCGATATTGTTTTGTTATAATCATTAATCTTACCAATATAGAGCTTTATTGTATTTATTGTGATAGATTTTAATTAAATGTGTTTTAAAAATTATTTGGTACAAATGTTATTTACTTGTTTTGATTAGTTTACTATCTATATAAGAGATATTTTTGATAGCTTGTTAATATTAATCACTTGATGTTGTTTTGTTATGATTATTGATATTACCAATATAAAGCTTTGTTATATTGTTATAGTAGATTTTAATTAAATATATTTTGAAAACTATTTTTATACATATATATATTTGTACTATCTATTTATGTATTTTAATGCTAAAAGATTAGAAGTCTATATATTAAGCTATTTAAATCTTGAAGAGTTTTAATATCCTTCTGAGCTTTGGAGGATTTGAGATTATTTGATTTATTGAATTAATTTATCTCTTTCCAAGGTTCCTTATAGTATCAAGAAAGGTGCCAATATGTATTAGCCTAGTTGCAAGCTTTGTGAAATTGATATTGGCTCTCATTTTTTAACTATAAATCTATTACTATTTGTTTGTTCTCTTTCCTGTAAAGTGAGGAAGTAAAGTAATTGATAGATGTATATAGAAATCTTCAACTAATGGCTAATTTGAAGTATTCAATATAGTATTGTTTTATATTAGATTGTCTTTTTGTTTTGTGTTGTTGTTGCAAGAATATGTTTCTTGTATTGGGTATTGTCTTTTTTTTGAGTAATTGCCTAAAAAAAAATTTTTGAGAATCTAGAAATTTTTAGAAAAAAAGATTTATACTTAAATTTGAATATATATTTTTGTTATATAAATTTATATAAATTTAATTTGTTAGATATTATAAAATAAATAGATTTATATATATAATATATAATTTAAAATTTTGATATTAATTAAAAAAAACTTTTTCTGTTGATCTTTTGATTATACACGAAAAAGATGTTTGTAAAAATTCTTTTCACTTCTTTGCTAATAAAGTCTTAATATTTTTATTAAAACAACTTGAAGTATAACTTTAAGAATTGTTTTTATATTTTTTTTCTTATTTACAAACCTCTTCACTCAAAAACTTGACTTCTAGTGACCAAAAAAAGTCAAGTAATACCTTTGATACCAATAATAAGAAAGTTTTCAAAGAAAGAAAAACTGACTGTAAAATACTTAAAAATCTTTTTAACCTTTGAAGCAAGAGATTATAGAGGTTTTGTTACAATAAAAAGATTTATTTTTTCTCTTTTTAATTGTCTAGGCTCTCTTGGGACTTCTATTTTCATGGTTTTCTAGAAAATTTTGCTTATTTCAGTTTGATCTTAAATTTTAGATAGTACCAATTCTTACTAAAGTTGATTGACTAATACAAATCATGTTAGTTTTTGAAATGTAAACAAGCTCTTATTAATTATACTCATATGTTTCAATAACATTATTGGGAATTGAAAAGAATATTTTGAAAATATTCCTTTTTTAGAAATTCATGTTTCTTGAAAAAGATATTCATGATATTAAAAAACTAAGAGATGGGTAATGTGAATTACAAATCTTTATTTTTTCCTAAGCTCTTCAAGTAGTACCAAAACTTTAATGGACAAAAATTAAAATTTAAATATTTTTCTTGAAATATTCCAATTTAATATTCACTTAAATGAAAGACTAGTTAGATTGACTTGTTCAATATTGCAAGTGGTGATACAAAAAATTTTTTCTGAGGCTTAAGAAAAGCAAAAAGACTATTTCAATTAGGTAAATTCCTTTTGAAAGAAAAATTGCTTTCTTTTTGAACTTTTTTGATGAGACCTTAAATTGTTTTCCTTTTTCCTTAACTTAGCAATTCATGGTTATAGGCAATCTATAGTGACAAATTGTTGGTGATAAACCTAGTAGATAGAGATTATTTACCAATCCTCTAGGGATGTGAAATATTGTAATATTATAGATAGTTATATGACTTCTCAATAAAGATCAAGCCATGTGACATGGTTGCAGGTTAAAAAAAAGAAAATAATAATAATTTAAAATTTTGATTATTTCATCATGTTATAATTAATGCATTTGTTATTAAATTAACTCTTATCAACAAAATTTTTAATTTCAGCTATTTTGATTGATGACACAATACTTTTGTGAGCTATCGTATACTGTATATACTGTATATCATGCTCTTTAGATAACAATAAAAAAATATATATATATATTTTCAGCTTAGCATGGACATATGCTTGCCCGAGTATATTGCACTTTGGTTTCAAACGATCATATAAACGACAATCTGGCCTGGCTGCGGGTTACTTTCTAATAATAATACTTTTTCGACATTTTTAACGATCAAAAGCTTAATGGTTTGTTTTTTCGAGATATTTAACCGTATGGCGACCTTTTTAATTCTAATTGGATACGTGAGAGGTAACAGATAAACTACTTACTGTATGTAATTAACAAGTCAATCCAAAAAAAAATTAAAATTTATTTTTTAACTGCAAATTTTAGATTTTTTTTTTGCCACACATACAATTCCATCACTAATTCCATCAAACTCTAATAAGCAACCGATCATCCGCGAAAGTTTTTATTTTATTTTATTTTTTTATGTAATAGTATAATAAATCCCTTATTTTTTTTTAGGTTAGACTGCATATGCTATATAGTTATTTAAGTTTTCAGATTAACCCAAGATCATAATATTCATTAAACTGTTTTAAGTTTAAATCCGGGAGTTGTTTATTTGATTTATTTATTTTGTACATGCATGGTAAAATGGCGTTCTGAAAGCGCTAGGCGCATTGATTCACCCTTTTAATACTCTATATATACAGTAAATGCACTATGTAAAGCTCATTGGTTTCAAGAAAGAAGACAAACTTGTTTCTTTCTTCACATGGAATTAAGAAAAAACTATACTAAATTATTTTGTATTAATTAATTTCTATTATTTTTCTATGTTTCTTATGTGAACGATATTTTTCCAAAAAAAAAAAAAAAATCCTTAATCGAATGCATTTTAATTAGGTACGATTAGAATCATATTTCGTCTTTTTCTTCGCCTCCGTAATAAACATTTCCACGACCCGAGCACGACATTCTTGACCACGCATGCATCAATCGACTTTTCGTCTTCTGGACGTCAAACTTGAAAGTCTTGAATAATTTCGAGGTTCGCTTATTTTGTTTTCTAATCATGTTGTCAGTATTCGATTCCGAAGGAACCGATCCACTAGAAAGAGAAGATATAATTAGAATTTAATTTACTCTTCAAACGAATAATGTTACTCTTCCTTTTAAAAACTGTATTTAAGCAAAGCTTACTTTTGTTTTTTAATTTCGCGATTCTCATTCGACAAATGTGCATGTCCGTTTTCTGCTTTGACTGGAGGCGTTTGTGGCAGGGGTTCCTGAAGGATAAAGCGTAATATAAATAAAGGAATTTAAAAACGAGGTAATATGCGAGAGATGAGATTCGAAAGTGATACATACTTCTTCGAATGTGAACTCCTCTTCATCAGACCCTATAAATAAATTTTCCATACGTCAATTACCAAATAAATACTACCATTCTGCTTAATGATGAGATGAAAAACACCATTTACCTGTCAATCTCCTTTTCCTAAGATGTGCCGAGAGCGGGTCATCCTTCAATAATTCATCCATATTATCACAGACTTCATCGATCGTTGGCCTTGACGCAGAATCATGCTGCCAACAATCTTCGTACAACTTCACGTAATCCTCCGGAGTGTTGGGTGCCGGTTGTTCGCGTCGCTTTTTGGCCAATATGTCGACGGCGAGTCTCGTCTGATTTTCCGAGTTTTCAAAGGGTGGTTTTCGACTAGATATTTCCCACAACAAAACCCCCAGACTATATATGTCCGAACTTCGATCTGGTCGGAAATTCATGTCGGTGATCAATCTTGGATCCACATATGGGATCACTTCTGGTGACTCATTGTAGTTTGACGTCGATTCGTCATCGTATGCAATCATACGCGGTGCTCTTATGAATGCTTTACCATCGTCGATAAAAATGTTTCTTGCGTGCTGGCAATAGAACGAGTTTTCTGTGAGAAATCGACTTCAAGAAAGCGACGGTAATGATGATAATGATAACGATAATGATAATAACAGTAATAATCGATATTTACAAGATCTCCATGAACCACGCCAGCTTTGTGCAGTTGGCGCAATCCGTGTGATACGTCTCTGGCGATGCGTAGCCTATCGATCCATGATGATTCTGGGTTTGCTGCCATATATTCGCGCAAATTTCCTTGTTTTGCTAATTGCAACACGATCATGCAACTGTTTGACTCGGCATCTGTTGAAAGATCATGAGAAAGGATGGCAGGTGGGTAAAGAAGACTTGACAAAAAAAAGAAAACGTCAGAATAATGAAAATCAGAATTGTACCTTGGGTGACGCCGTAAAGTTGCAACAAATTATCGTGATCCAAATTTTGCAAAGCCCGCATTATCTAGAAGAATGAATATCTTTATGGTAAGTATAATGTGATTATGAAAAGTCGTACTTATTATTTCTCCATTTGTTGTTCTTTCTAGATTGGAATAGGAAACTTGACGCAATGATTGCATTTCTGATTCAGAACGCCACTACCATTTCGTTAGGCAGCCCAACAAATTGTACGACCTCACTAGCCAAACATTGCCTACCTCGGTCTCCAACTTCTTATGGATCTCTTCGGCATCATCACCAAGGATTTGTTTGAGGGCGACCTCTCGTGAGTATTCCTTCCATATTGCTCGCTTCACGACGGCCTTGGCCTCCGTCTCGATGGGACGAATATCTTCGAAATCCGAGTATTCGATGAAATCTACGCCAAGCTGAAATGCGATTTCTTGGACCGGATCAAATTCCGATGAAGCGGTCGATATTATGGATGCGGCATCGGTTGATTTCGTCTCCTCTTGATTGTAGCTTGGTATCTCTTCAGTCATTTTTTTTTTCAAGATTATTTTATCTTAGTTTCAACTGCAAAAAGAATAGTTTTTATATACTGTATATCTCCAAAAAAAAAAAAAAAAAAATAAATAAATCGATATGTGCGTTATATGATGATGATGATGGATGGATGAAATGAGTTTTTAGTTTTTTAGTCTTTTTTTCCTCAAAAAAAAAAAAGAAAAGAAAAAAATTTTCTTGAGAAACCTCAAGTTTCAATCATCAGGAATTTATATAAACCCATTGCAGATGTGACACGCAAAAAAGTTACTTTGGTATTGATGCGTAAGTAAAGTATTTTCACACAATTGCCACACAAAGAAAGAATTACCTGACTTATTTATTACTCTTACTATTTACTGTAAAGATTCATATATGGTCACATATAAATTCGCAGTATGTTTTATTGTTCAGCGAGATGCATGAGTAACTACACCAAATTCGATAGAATCAACCAATGAACAAATATAAATAAATAAATAAATAAATAAATAAATAAAAATAGAATATAGAATCACCTCACACTTATGATTGGTAACGTCAAACTGCAGTGGTCGAAGAATAAGTGTAGTCAAGAGGCTATAAACAATAAACTCGCTCGCAAAAATCGTGCCGGGTGCTGCGTCTCATTGTAAAAATCGAGTTTCTTCGACAACCTCAAATTCTATTATCGGATGCGCAACATGCAAAAGAAAACTTGTTCGATAACTAGTGCCGGTATACTCCTTATCCCTTGAATTCTTCCCACATTTCACTAAAAGAAGATTATCATTATCGTCCCTGTTGAGCTTCCTTTTTTTGCCTTGCCATTCACACCTCCTTCATTCCTCACTCTCTCCTCCTTCATCGTCATCTGTAATAAAAGTCTCGTTTCATTTTCGTGATGCGGATGAGGGATTAACCTGAAGTGGACACGCACGTCCTAATACTGATGCTAATTTTGAAATAATTGAAAGCGACTTATACATTTTTAAGTTTCACGTCATAGCTAATCACCAAGTTATAAGGGCACATTATAAAAAAAGACTCCTCTTCACAAATAACCTATGCATCATCCAATCGAAAACATATTTAACCGTTAGCCTTCGTGCATGTGTGTGACTATCGCTCGACCGTTTAAGGCATTCAAGGGAAATTCTTTATTCTCACCTTCCAATCTGAACCAAAACCAAGTACTGTATCCTGGTCGTTTGATAGGTAACCTGATCACTCGAGTTTCTTACCTCCAGGATTTTGTGATGTCAATAAGGATAAATAACTCTCGATCGAGGAAAAAAATTTTTTTTCAAACCTAACCAATTAAGGTTGGCACGCATATAGGCAAGAGGATCTGGTCACGCCGACGAAATCTTATGCAATAAAAATCACATTCTTTGAAAGATATAGTATCTTGACTTTTCATGTCAATGGTTGCAAATCACATGTTTATTACTTATGCTATCTCTTTCGAAGAAATTGTACTATCATCGTGCCTGTCAGTAGAATACAATGAGATGAAAAGTTGGCGGTGTCGATCGAGTTTCCTTTCACGCATTCACTTGAAGTGGACAATTTAAATGATTGACTTTTACCAATCCCTCAATAAAAATAAAAAAGGCGCGCCATGTCGGTAAGGTCATCGGACCTCGAGCATATGATTGCATATACAGTGGGATTCATACAGTATATTGTATTTTTTTTTGGACACCACTGATAGTTAAAATGTTGGATTCAACGAACAGCTTTGGATTAACCTCTGTCCTCCTGCTAAACAAAAAAAAAACCTTATTTCAACCAATGCATTACTTATTCTGGATGAGATACTTGAAATTTGAATTCCCTTATTTATAAAAATGCTTTTCGTGAAAGTTTTCCTTTTTCCGCCCGAGCAGAAGTTTGACCTATTTTTGAAATAGTACCGTGCTTTATCCACAATAAATGGTAGGTCAAATGAAACTTTTCCACATGCATAGGTTCCAACACACAACGAATGCCAGTAAGCATTAACGGATTGCGCATACATAATTGTCATTGTTGCATAACCTCTTGAATTCACGGGCAATTTCTTTATTCCGCGTAGGACCAATTTTAGTAGTTTATCGGATACCCAATTTTGAGTCATTTCATAACATTGCAGGACATTCCACTCTCGCATCTCGGTTATTGTTTTCTTTGTAATCATTTCGAGAATGTGACAACAATTTGAATGTGATTCTGTTTCCAATTCTGCGAAAGCACAAAGAAACCCAATGCTCACTTCATTTGAGCATGTTCCGTATGTACAATGATAATTACCGTAATTTAAATACTGTAATAAAGAACAAATTTAATTATGTTCGCATTCTGCGACTGTTTTATACAGTATGTACAGTATATGTCTGTGTGTGCTGTCTTTTCAAATTAACCAACAACATACTGTACGTAGAATCAGTCGATATTAAGAAAACAGGTTTCACCTGCCTTTTGGACCTTAAGTACAATTTGAAATCCAAGCCTTAAGAAAATTAATTCAAATTTCTTTTTTTATATTTATTACAAACTGTATGTACAATACGACTATTGTATAATATTATGTCACTTCTAATTGATTAAAAAGATAACGTCGAGCAGTTTCAAATCTTTTTTTTTGTTGATAGTACTAAGGTGCAAAAAAAAGAATTCAACGTGCATATTATTCGACTAAAAATACTCGTGACTAATGTAACAATGGTGACAATGAATCAATTATGTAATCGTTTAAGGTTTGCCGATCGGTGCTTCGTTGCAACGTAGATGCTTGTTTGTTTTTCTACCCCAGACGTTCCAGCATTTCACACGTATTCTTAATGATTATTGTTTTCAGAGGAAAAACAAGGCGTCTATTTGTTGTTTGTTTTATTTTCATGCGATGCAAATTCCCCCCCTTGTTTTGTCCTGAATTATCGAATCCGCGTCGATTGATTACTCGTATTTGTTTTCCCCAACTTTCGAAAGAATTTTTTGGCTGGCAAATGTACATCACCGCTCGCAATGTTGTTTCATGAACATGTAGGCGCACGCGATCTCCCTTGATCCCGATGCGCCATGATGTAAGTTGAGCGGAAAGGCTTCACTGAGCGAAGTTGAACGAAATCCTTTGTTCTAATGTTGACCGCTATTCAATTGTAAGGCAACCTAGGTACTATATATACTGTATACTGTGATTATTGAAATGGCCAAACGAAATTCTTCTAATCGACATCCAAGAAATGCCGAAGAGTTTACTGTGCAATGAAGAATTCTGATCCTTAGAATTCATCATCATTTAAGTAGTTTAAATGCGACCGAATTAAGTGAGATAATTTCAGACGTTGGCTGAGATTGATCGTTTCTCCGATCGATCCATTGTTACCCCTTTACCATTACCTCACCCTCCGGTCGTTCCCTGAACGTCTCACCGGCGAATAATTACCATTTAGCGTAACCTTGAATTCTCTAAAAAGAGTTTACCCCTCCAGCAGTTTGCTCATGCGAAGTGTAATTAAACGCACGGTAAGTCGGTATAGCAAAGCTTCTGTTACTATCACTCTGCTTCGGGAATCTAACAGCAGGGGTCGTTATCGTTCCACGTACTGTAGTTGCCGTGAATCACCAATCGAGAAGTAGTTGGTTGTTGAATCTTTCGTGGAATTTAAATTTTCAATTGATAAAACAAATCTCTTGGAACCTGTTTCCGTTAGCAGGTTATTCCAAATCGAATTGATGTTAGACCTGACCAATCTAACCATTGCCGTACAGTAATGTAGTCAGTTACGACTAGTTTCAAGTTTAGAACATTAATAATTAATTTATGACATCCGAGAGCTCAAATTTTGCAACGGCTGTATTCGAAAAATTCCTTTCGGTATGCTGTATATTGAAGGCAAAATTTAAATATTCGGTCGTCGATGTTTTATTTCAAATTGGGGCTATCCCTCCTGCCAAACATCCTCGAACGTAAGTTAACTCATGGTCATATTTGATCACACTTCGACGGTGTAAAATACGGCGAAACCATTTAAATGTTAAATCTAGGTATGCTGCCGATCAATAATGTGATAGACAAAAAAGTAATAATATTAGGTTGTTCTGCGATATACGGGGTACTATTATCACTATGATGTAACTCGCGATATCATCACATTTTACTATTGAATGATCGGCTCATGTGACAGTATCGAATATTCTGTATTGTCACAATACGCACGTGAACTTCGGAGGCCCATAACCCCGCGAATATTGGACCAATTGAGATGATTTTTGAGCGATTAGATAGGTCAAGACTTGGGCTTTCGAATGGATATAGGTCATTATAGTAAAAGTCTCATATCTGATGCGTGATCATCAAAAAACTGAAAGTGAAAATTGCTGATCACGTATCTTTGTATGATTGGTTTGAGGTTAATTTTGCAGATATTGAACCAATCGTAATGATCTTTGATTACTTTACGAATGTAATCAAAATAAATGATGAAACTATTATTCAAAAACTTGGAAATACAGGATTTTTTTATATAAAGGTATGCTGTTAAGAGGATTTATCTTTATAATTTTGATAAAAACTTGTGTATTTATTTTTATTTATACTTGAACTTGTGATTATGATAAGAATTTACGTATTCTATCTTTATCTTCTTAAAGATGAACCAATAAGATTTTAAGATTACTTATGTCGATATGTTATAAATATGTCAAGGAATTTGATCTGACGGATCAACTTTCTCAAGTTAAATATCCAATCAAACATGCCTCTTATTAAATCATTATCCCTTAAATTATCTCGAAAAATTCCTTTTATTAAAATCAAAAAATCATTACAAAATAATAATGATGAAATCAAATCTGAGATATCATTCAATAATGAAGATTACGATAATCCATGGGAAACATCAAAGGATGACGATATCCCATGGAACGAAGATAATGATCTTCAAGAAAATGAAGATATTCATCACGAAAATGAAGATAATCAACAAGATAACACAAAAAATCAAGATGTTCAAGAGAATAATATATCAAG